ATAATCGTTTAATTCAATATAAAATAATTGCGTGCACAATTTATTGATCATAGAAAACTATCTATATTTTTTTTTTTAAACTAATAAATTATGTTTATATTTATTGCACAGATATATAACATCAATAAAATGTTATATTATTATTTATTATTTTTGTTTTGGTAGAACGACTTTACTGCTTAATTATATACGTGACTACATTTAAATATAAATTGACATAAACTTACATTTGATATAATGAAACAAAAACAAATGTACAGTGTTATAAAAATACATAATATCAAACATTTACAAGTATATACATACCATGGTATAAGTATCCAATATTACGTGGTATTACGTTATACCTACGTGGGAGAATAATATGTTTATTATATATGTAGTATCATTTTCGTATGCTTTCGGGGTGTAGACAAATTCAATTTCAAAAAAGCGGTAGGTTTATTACATACTTATCATATCACGCGTTAAATAAAGACTATGGCAGCAGCCCGTATCAACTACAATAATATATGTGCTGACGAATTCGATAGTAGATATATATATATAATATAATATATATACTCTTACATTTGAGCGTTTTGGTTGACGGTAAACGCTAATAGGGTGGATTTTAATTCTAAATATAAATATTCGTGTATGTAGACAAAAAAAAATCCGTATAATGTATACATATTGTTATATTGTTATAGTGTGCTAATGTTGCATGGGTTTCCGAATCTGGTCGTCGTTGTCGAAAGACGCGTAGAGCTTCCAGGATTTCAATGAATTTATAAAATTATGAAAACAACGCAACAATCGGACAACTCGAGCAATTAACAAACGTGAGAAAAGGGTTGGCGTTGAGTGAAGACAACTGAGATGAATATGCACAGAAACGCACTATTTTCACACAGACACATAATACATATACAAATATATATATTTTTATGTGTGTGTGTGTGTATATGTTATATAAAGGTACATAAAACAAATAACAAATATGTATATATAATAATAATAATAATAATAATAATAATAATATAATGTACAATTGGTGCACCGCGCCGCTTGCACCACTATCGAGTCGGTTTACGCTATCAAATGGCAGCTAATTACCAGCGCCGAGGGCCTTTTATAATTGGTTTTGATTAATTAACTCGTACGCGGAGAAACTTTCGTGTATTTTCCTCTACCAATAGCTTTCCCATTTACACTCATTATACATATTATAATATGTAACCCAGTAGACGGTGTAGTAGGAGGAAAGTTGAACCACCACATATACAATAGAAATGGGGGACGTGAGAGTAGTGTATACGCAAATCGACCGATTCCGTAAGCAAACGTATACTTCTTTTTACATAAATATATATAATGTATATGAATGATATATACATACATAGTAGGTAGTCTAAAAATTGCACTGATTTTTAATTAACCCACGGCTTCCTTTACCGGCAAAGAAAATAATATCAAATTTATGTATGTGTATACGAAATTGCAAGCAATTGTGTACGAGGGGTTTAACTACAAGAGGGTTGCAGCGGTACTCGAAATATATATATATAATATATACGATATTTTGAGCTTCGATGGTTAAGTGTTCTTCTTGGGCGGACGAGGGTGGAGACTAACGAGAGGAGAAAAGTTCGTCGATGTAAAACGTTTGGCAACCAGTATACCTACAATTCAGAGGTAATAATACGTACGCATAATTAATATGTATATATACAATATATGTGCGTGTTTATATATATATATAAACGAATCGTCTTGTGCGTGAGCCCATATATATATGTGTGTGTATGTGTGTGTGTAAGTACAGCATGTGCTAAAGTATTACTGTTCCGCCGCCGTCTCAGAAAGTTTTAAAGTGAACGCGAGGAACCGTCCACATAATATAGCTATATAGACTTGAGCACGTCGAATCAAATTTAAAGTAAATAATTTCCGAATCGCGCCACCACTCGGTGGCGCAGGGTGAAAACGTCCGCAGCGGGGACAGCTGTTAATAGTCGTGACGTGCGCGCGTGTGTTCGATCTGAGTGCTTAAAACTAAATTACACGCCGTGCACATACTTATTATATATATATATATATACAAGCGTGCCGCCGCTAAAAAGCGGTGTGATTCTTTGCGGAAAATCGTGCATATTAATACTACGCCCGTCTTACTTACATTGTATAACGTCTCGACGTGCATTTCCGAGCGGCTTAAAGTTTAGACGTCCGCTTGCTTATATCGTATGATAACGAAAGCACCGTTATACAGTAAGAAAGGGAGTATACGCGTCATATAATATACAATATACGCGTACCTATATAATATACATTGTTAAAAGCGCACTCGAAGCGTGTGCAATTTTACTCGGAGAAATATTATTGTCTTACGCCGGAATGCAGTGTGGGATAGTAACTGCAGTCGGGAGGACGAGACGATAGACACTCGACATTTAATCGGTCACTGCTACAGCCCTCTCGACAAATCTCGTTTAGAACACAGAATATACTGAGCAAGTAATAAGAGTCACCCCACATACACATATTATTATCATTATACCACGGTCGAGAAAGTCCATCGTCACGCGCTGCGTATAATGACTGCATATGACAATAAACTAATACATCTACGGATAAACTATGCACATTATTGTTATACACAACAAAATGTTCCGGTTATACACGCGACACTTCAGAGATATAGAACAGTAACAATACGGACGACCGAGAGCGAGTAAACAAAACCGTCTTCGACTCGAGTAACTATAGAACCAGCGAGTGTGTATCCGTATGTTTAGTAGGCGATCGTGTATATTCGTAGGCGATAGTTTATATTTTTTCACGGTAGTAAATATTATGTATGTGTGTGTGTGTGTGTGTGTGTGTGTGTGTGTGTGTGTGTTTACTGTGCACACAACTTGACGTTTTTCGAGTGTTCCAATCGCTTAACTATTAAGATGACGGCGTCACGCGGAATATTCAGCACAGTTTATTCTACAGATATTTTCTAATATTGTAAATGGCTATTTATATATTATAAATTATAAACAGGAGTAAGAAAGAGCGATGCTATTTGTTTGGATCCATGCAAGTAGTGAATAACTTTGTTTTGGTATCGGTAGTGAATCGTTTAGAAATATCGACACTACGATTTTACGCTTCGTTAATGATGATCGTCAATTAGCGAGGTGCAAATATTGATATTTTTTTTACCAATACGATATCATAAATATAATTCTTAAGAAATTTCCTTATAATTTAAACACATTTTTACAACTCAACAAAATACTTTATGACCTTTGCCTCGCGTTTCAAAAAAATTCAAATAATATTTTAGTATAGACTCCAATAGGTTTAAACAGTTTTACTTGGGTCTTGGAATCATATCAATTACTTCATCTCTGATCAGTAATTATAGATAATATTTATTTAAAAAAAAAAAATAATTAAAACCGCTTTATTTTTACAAAATAAGCGACAATTACAGGGAACATAATGTTACTATTATGTAGCGGTAATGGCGTAATGCACTACATCAAATATAGTGACTTCCGTAACTACTGAATAAATTATATAATACAATATACAGGTAAGCACAAAACATACAACAAAAGGTAATGTCCATATGTCTGTAGCTTATAATTTTTATAGTTTAAAATTAGAGCATTGAGTATATCTACTCAATCGGTTTTAGGAAAAATCACAAAGACAGTTCTTAAAATAATCTGGAAATTTTGTATAGCCTTAACTGCGTTCTATTAAAATATATCAAGTTGACTTGTACAGGAAGATGGCTCATCTCAGTTATTAGTATACAAAACGTCATACACCGATGCTGATTTGTCCGTGAATAGAAATGCATTAAAACTAAGATACATCGATGTAGACAACGTATTTTATGTTTGTTCATTTTTCCAAAGCGGAATCAGGTTAAACATATTTAGTTAAACATTAAAATAACATCCAAACATACTGAAATCATTCATTGGTGGTTTGTTTTTAATGATCGTTATTGCATTTATTACTGCGACCCGCGTGCCTCCGACGGACGGTCGCCAATGTCAATCTCGGTAACAACCGAAATCTACGAGTCACCAATCTGACCGTCTCATCGATGGAATTCCTCGCCGCGAGTCGTTTGAAAATACGTCCAGTACTGTAACGATAATCCGATCATAACGCACATTTGAGTGAGCCCCTTACGATTAGACCGTTTAGTCATTCCGCGGCTTAAGACGAAAATTTACCGTCATCGCAGACTATGAGAATTATTTTTGTTTGATCTGAGTAGTCGATATCGATTTTCTGAAATACACGCGTTTAATAAAAACAGCGCTGTGTCTTACATCAGTTCTGTCTACATAGCTGTCCTTTGTTGCGCTCAAATTAAACGTAATCTCGAGATTGGACGACGATCTCGTAGCGTTATTAATACGCAAAAAAATAAAAATAGCGTTAGAACGTAAAAAGATTATAAAATGGTTATGAATATTATCGACAGATTCGCAGATGAGCATAAATATAATATAAATTAATTAATATGGTATATACATTAATCGCAGAACAATATTATCGACGTTGTAAAACAATACACCGCACCGGCGTTTTCATATCTATACATAATATATATCATACTATATTATAATAATTTTATGGGACGTTATATTGAGTTGCGTTGTGCAGTATAGCGTACAGGTACGTCTCACCGTTCCGGTAGACAATATAGCAAACACATAAACACATAAAAAATTTAAAATTAACTTCACCTCCCGCAACAGGTAAGTGCTGGGCCACTGATGATAATACCATCACTTTTATTGCCATGCCGCCTTCGTTGTCGCCGGTGTTGTGGTTGCGTGATTAGTTACGATTTTAACGGTCGTATTAATAATATAATAATATTATAATGACATTGCGCATTGTTCTCGTTATTTTAACAATTATTACCATCATCTTTTCACGTTGACCGCATGTATATTTTATTCTATTATTACCTGTGTAGGTACTTGTATCGGCGGTAATACATTCCAACGACGCTGCCACCGCCGTTGCCGCCACCGCAATAACGTGTTTGCCAATCGATTTTGCGGTGACTATACGTCGGACTTGTCCGACGTCTTCGATTGCGCAGACTGACGGTGTGTACCTCGACAGAGAGTGAGTGAGAGAGAAGTGTCCGCAAATATCATTTATACCTGTAACAGTAATAATTGTTGTAATATAATAATATTCGATTAGGTTTCATATTCTTTGGATGTAAGCCAACGCGTGCAGTTATCGAACTTGATGACCGATCGGCTGGTGCGAAATCGTCAACGAACACGACTGAGCACTTACTACAACACATGATACTGTGTACATAGAAACAAGTACGTGTTGGAAAAAATTATAAATCAAATTAAATTATGTAAAAATGATGACAGGCAGCTGTTTTTTTTATTATACGTAATATAATATCATATAGAAATAAAATGCGCCAAACACATTCTCAATAATATTAATACAATTCGTTGACGGACGACTGTAATGCGCGCGAATTTTCATGTACTTAATTGTACAAATTAATCGAATCAAATGCTTAGAACAATTTTTGCACTTGTTTTCGAGAAATAAATAATAAAATCTCGAATTTAGTTTTGTGCTTAAATTCGTATAATTATATGACAATAGCCTATGGGCTATGGCCCATGAACCAATAATGGAAATAATAAGATGTTTTGAGATGATATTATGATCATTGAATTTAGTGTTCGTCCAATGAACCTGACCTAAAAAATGGGTCTTAACTTCTAACAGTAAGCAAAGTGTTTCTTGATGTTCTATAAAATAATAACTTGTACATTATATTGCATATTTTTATTTTATATATATTATGTATAGCAAAGTAATAGATTATTCATGTGAAGTAAATAGTTTTATACACCTGCATGTTATGCTAAAACATATTTTATTTGAGTATTTTCTCTGACACTTATCTTTTTAAAATCATTTGATATTATAAATGAAATAATGCTGTTTAAAATGTATGAATAATTTTGAAGATGAACCTACTTAAACGCTATTGATATTTATATACATATATATATATATAATTTATCCACCATAAAAATATGCGAAACTAAATCACATAGGACTTGGAACACAATTCCTAATAGATTACTTTAATACTAACATAAATTATAATAATGTATGTTATGTCATTTTTCAGGACTTTATATTTCTCTACAAATTGTTTTATTTATTTCGATTACAGTTTTATTATATCCAAATCGATGATTATAAAAAAATTGTTAAAAAAAAATGTTATCAATTATTTTATGCCACAATAGTATATTACAAATTTATATTAACCTATTATAGTTCTATCGTAATGCATTATCTATTTATTTGGTATATGTCTGTTTATGGTTTAAGAAAATCACTCTGAAGAATCATAGAATAAGAAAATATTATTAAAAAATGATAATTTAATTTAAGTTGTAATGCTATTTATAATCATAAATAAATACGCGGTGAACATGATTTCAACGATATTTAATTAGACACAATTCGATATGTGTAATATTGGTACCTTTGCCACGTCGTCTCTATCAGAAACGGTATATTATTATTACACTATATTAACATTCATTTTCGATTAAATCAAGACTAACGATTTAATTTAAAATTCAAAATCGCCTGCCAAGGACGGAGATCGTATCTTTTAAGGAAAAAAATATCGTTATACTCAACGTTCTATTTATTATTGTCGCGAGTTATTAAATTATAGTTGAACGACATTTATGACTTTATTAAGTTAATACAAAAAAAAAAACCAACCCATTACCTATCGTTATAAGCATGGCGATTTCATGAGTAATATTTGTCTATAACAGCTCACTGAATATAATGTTGAAAATAAAAAATGACCGTTTGATCCATAAAACTGTGTCCAGTAAATGTTGGTTTTAATAATATTAATGGGTACCTACTTATAATAACAACTATTAAATAGCGTGAATATAATAATATGTTAATACATAGTAATTGATAGTGTTGTTTGATGACTCAATAATAATAATGTTATAAGATCGTACACACCTAATACATTGTAGAAAGACATTTTTAATAAATACACAGTTGTTTATGAATATCGATAATAAATGAAAATTTATTAAACATTAATTTACGAGTATTCGGTATACGTGTATTATATTAAGCGTTTTACGACTCTCGTTTCGCAATGTAAATTTAATAAGCGTAAAATTAATCGTAGATACCTTTTTACCTATTATATTATTACTCTGTAACGTGTACGGTTTACACAGTATAATAATATTATGTTATTGCCCCGTCAACGCTACGTTATTGATATAATTATAATTTTTTACAATAATCGTTTGCGAGAACGATATTCACGTCAAGTCGGTCGATCAGCGTGATATCATTATCTCTATCACGTTTTAGGAGACGATATTAAAAATATGACATGATTTATTATAAATCGTAAGGTACCTATGGCATATTGTCATGTTGAATTATTACTATTATTGTGAACGGTTCATCCGACGTTTTCGCCATCTACTGGCTACGGACCTACGGACGACGACGTGGGTCTTATTATATTATTGTTATTGCGGTCTGGCCAATCTACGACGACGAAAAACTAGCCACAGAATTACAACAACAATATTACATCGAAGAATATAGTGTGCGAGGGAGACGGAAACGCGAGAAGAATAATCGTCATTGTCGGTCTTGCACATCTGCTGCCGGGTGGGCCGCGCCGCCGAGCCGTCTTAAAATATAATAATAATAATAATAATAATAATAATAATAATAATAATACTACAATATTACTCGAGGTTTTATCGTCATTACACACCGCTGTTGTACGAGACCGCTATAACATATCATGTATAAACACGCTGAGCTATGCCGCGATGGCGATATTGGATTATTATTACACGAGCAGAGAATTCCACGGGCGTGTGTCGTAGGTACTCACGCGTCTCGGGACTCACGCGGTCTCACACGGGGTTTCGACCATATTATGTCGAGAAAATTTGACAGCCCTTCTCTGACGACGATGACGACGACGGCGACGGCGACGCGTCGAGGGAGATTCCCGCGGTGCGGCCCGTCAGAGTCTCGCGACTGACAAGAGTCGTATTATCGGCGTGTATCCGAGTGTGTGCATCCCTTTTGTGTTTACGCGCCGAGACTTGACCTCACACACACGCACACGCGCTTTGATGGATGTTTTTTAATTGCACGTCAAACATGACTCGTATTATATCCATTTCTGTATTATACGACCGTGTGTTACGATAATATTATCATTATCATTATTATTATTATTATTATTGTGGGTTAAAAAAAATGAACCGTGACGGTTGTCGTTGTTGGATCGGTGACGGGAAGCGCATTAATGTAATTTATAATAAATAAATTATTAAGCGTGTATTATAAGACCACTTACCATTCAGAACCTACATTGATATATTTTTTTAAATACTTATTACTTGTTTGTTATTAGTAATTACTTGTTAATATTACTATCATTGTCTACAGCCGTGTTAGTTTTAAACTATGAAGTTTACACTAATTCAAAAAATTTATTCTTATAGATTTTCTGGTTTTCATACAATTATTTTATCTTGTATTCTTGTGTTATGATTATTTATTCACTAAGTTACCAACAGTATCACAATATTTTTACACCTATTAAAAATTAAAAATACATATAATTTTATAAGTTGTAAAATATAATGATAATAATAACAATTTCATAATATTATTAAAGGTACGACCAATACTTTAACTTAAAATTAAAATAAGACTTTCGTATAATATATTATCGTCATGCTCGATGGAAGAAAATGAAATTGTCGATCGGTGAAATAGAGACATAATTTGGTTTGATGGTAAAGAGTCGTTTTGGCAGAAAAGGATTAATCTATTACCATACTGTATATCTATATTATATAGCATATAATGATATATGTATATCAGGTGCGATCGATTCCGTTTGTTAAATGTGTCATGTGTTGAATTCGATCCCCACTCACTCTAATTTGCACATTTAATGACAACTCGTTTGTGCATAGGTTTGTATATGTATATATATATACACACACACACAAACCTATATATATTTATATAAAGGTGCACTTATAGTACGGCCGAAATAATAGTTTAAAAAAAACATGTCGAATCATACCAAATTTAAATTAAAATCGTTCGCGGAACGAAATTAAGATCGAAATTAGATTCATTTTTATTGCAGGTAATATTTAAAACAGTTATCGTATACACAAGTTAATGGGATTTTATTTCAAAATTAAATTACTGTTCAGGTTAATATTATTTGGTTTTCGGCAACTCATATCTACGGCAATAAAATTTTTGAATTTTTTAAACGGTTTGCGAGAAAATAAATAATAAATCACACGGTATACGGTATACGTACGTTAACCGCTTAAAATGAAATATTCAGACGGTAATAACACTAATAACTACACATCTATAATATTATTGTATAGGTAATATACATAGAGTATAAAAGGGTGGAGAATTTAATTTTTTTTTTTTAACTAAATAGGAAAAAAATCGTTTTAAGAGGGTTCACCGTGTAAACGAATAATTTTTATTTATTTTCTCGGGACATATTATATTATTTGCCCCCCGGGCAAAACCGTAAACCAATAAACATACCTAACTGAAACATAGGTACCGATCCGAACGTCTTTAAAAAATATATTAATAATTCCATTCGCTATTCTTTTTGAAAACGTACCCTTACATCACAGCGGGATCTCGCATATATATTATAATATTAAATTGTATACGGTAATATATACATATATACAACTTTAAGTCTGACAGTTAAAAACACAATTATGTATTGTTGTTGGTGGATGACGTGGTGTGAGGGAGAAGAGTAGTTAAAGAACTAACGTTGGAGAAAACCGTATTTATTTATACATTATTTATATATTTACCTATGTACAGTATACATCGTAGTGCACGTTGGCTCTTAAGTCCGACAATAATAATTCACACCGCGCATGTTATACAGCCGGCGCACCCTAAGGTAAATAATATACGCATCACGTGACAGACTTTGCGTGCACTAATGAGATATAGTCGCGAGTATATTAAAAATAAAAAAATAAAAGACCTAATAATAATAATAATAATAATAATAATAATAAATTATTATATTACTTATCGCATAATGTTTTGGTGTCGCGTCTCACGCGATTCCTAACCAATTATATACGTGCGTATATGTGACCATTGACCACTGTTGTATATATTATACAAAATTTACTTAATATGTACTTGCCCATATACAGAGGTACGTAGCTATAGTGGTGTTAAGAAA